CCACGCACATGCGGGTCGTATAAATTGAAACAAGACACTGTACGAATCCGGCGCTGCACCATAACCACGTCGATATGTGCGACCGTGTAACGCGCAAAAATAGAACAAACACTTGTGAACACGCTTCAAGCCCAGTGAAAGTATCCACTGCAACGAGAGAAGAAAAAAAAAAAAAAAAGAATTCATACAACGTACGCGTGGAGTAAAGAACCATCTATCGATCGTCGACTAAAAATATCCGATTATAAACGAGATCGGTCGAATGCTTTGCCACTACGAATCTGTAACAAGAAACCATCGATTTTTCCACTCTGCTTTCTACGCTTCCGTTCGCGTTTTTCTTTCGTTTTAAATCAGAATACGCAGTCTAACGTTGCACATATTTATACATCTATAGATCTATACGCGAACTCACTAATAAGCAATATGAAATTCTCTACAGATACAGACATACGTGTGTGTTTGCGCATCGACGGTACACGCCCTGTCCTCACCGAATGAACGCTTTCATTTCTCCTCCCCTAGTCGCGTGGCGCGAGTTTCAAATTCAACGGGAAAGAGTAGAATCGTTAAAAAAAAAAAAAAAACGTGCTTCGTTGCCAATTTTTTTTTTTTTTTTTTTTTTTTCTNTTTCACCTGTCAGACTCACGGTTCTCTTTAAATAGTTCACTTTAGCCTGCTAGTTGCCTCTTTAATTTTTTTTTTTTTTTTTTTTTTTTCTCCATGTCAAATAAACCAAAATCTGTCGAAAAAGAAAAAAAGAAGGAAAATCGTTTCGTCGTATTCCCATAATAAAGTAGCTCAAAGCTCCTAATTCAACGATCGTTTCGGATCACTCCATTACGAAAAGACAAGGTTCGTTTAGACGTAATTGAAAATTTCTGCCGATTAGAGGAACGCGGCACCCGTTAATTGTCCTTCGTGCGCTTTAACTCGTCTCCGTCGACTGCGCAACGATCTCTCGCTGCTCGCTTTGATCCGCGCGCGCCTTGTCCTCCGGCGCTCGAGGTTTCTTCACGGCCGTAGACCGCTGGATAAAGACGAGAAAGGGAACGAAGATGCGGGAGAACGGTATAAGAGAGAAAGAGACGGAGAGGGAAATGCTTCTATACGCGCCATTCACAAGCGGCGATCCAGGCTGCGAGAATAACGAGAAGGCGAAATACGTATGCGCGAGGAAAAAAAAAAATTAGCGAACGCGGTTGTAACGGACTATAATCTTACAGAGAAATAATTATTCGCGGGTAGATCCGATTCTAGTGGTTCGCCTTCGTTCATCCGGACTCGAACGAGATCATTCTCACCGATCGAACGTTAACTCGTTAAGCGTTTCTCCATCTTCTTTGACAATTTTTTCAACTTTCAAGCCGCGCGCAGTTCAAATGTTAAAGGAAACAAATCTAATAATGTTAAAGCGGGACACAGACTCTGCACTCTAAATTTGACCCCTTTGCAGATCACATTCACCTTCTTGCGAATTAAATTCACCCTTTTCGCAGATGAAATTCATTCATTTTGCAAATTAAATTCATCTTGTGGGTGACTCGAAAGTTGAAGTAATACACTTTGTTATTTCATATTCACCATACTCCCCAATGATGAATCTCTCTATTGAAGTTTTTTCAAAAATTCTGTGCAAGAAATATTTTGGCTGATCCTTCAAACCATGAACGTTTGATGGATGTTATTAATCATTCTGTAGCGTAGCAACTATCTTTCCTACAAATTGTCATAATTATTATACGAATGTGTATATAAATAGTATAATAAATATATAAATACTTTTAATGTTAAATAAGTATTTCGTGTCAATTTTATGTCATTTCATGTTATTTTCTGTTCAAGTTTTATTACATCGAACTTTATTTTTATTGCAATGGCTTAAGAAAACTTGCAAAAGCGTGAATTTTATTTACAAAAATGTGAATATGATATGCAAAAGGGTTAATGTGTAATTCAAAGTACTGTAATAAATCAATTCGCTTTGCTCACAAAAATGTTTATGGCTCGCACTTTGCAACTTCTTGCAACTGATTGCGGACCATAACGAGTGACCAAACCGTGTACAATAATTCGTCCCTTTCTTTTTGAACTCGTCGGTATACCACTGGATAGAAATTATTCAGAAGCAATAAATTTATTATTTGTTTTGCCTGGGTTGTGCTTAAATATACTTAAAACTGAGAAAATATTGCAATTTTGGGACAAAAAAATTCTCGACGTGCGTGACACATTATTCCAGTGCAAGAAGTTAAGGTCGTAAACTTGGCCTGCAATAGGTTTCAGCACTCCTACCGTAACAAATTCAAGTAATGAAGTTAACAAAAAAAATTAAACAGACTCTATGACAAAAAAAAAAAACAAAATTAACGACTCATAAAGATTTAATAAAATTGAAAATCCTCAGAAGGATTGGAGGGAAGGGTGAGAGATCTAGTTGTGGCCCATAGAAGGCACCAAAAGAAGTACACGAACCTAGAGGAGAGTAAGGCGAAAGACGTACGAAAAAAGTTTTTTAGAAAACCAATGTGAATGTATCGCGCGTTTCGATACGTCTAAATTTAGGTGGTCGAGCCTCTACTCCGACCTCCGGTTCGTTTTCCGGCGCAGAGTGCCGCCTACGCGATTTAAGCCTCGTTAACACGGTCCCGCGCACGCAAGTTAAACAAATCGTAGCTGCTGCAAGTACATACGTGTTTCTAATACGTTTGTAATCTCGTCGGGGACCGACGGGAAATCGCGATATGCTCAGCTATTTCACAAATTTAATTTGCAAACTAGTCGGAAGATACTGGCAATGAACACGTGCAACGAAATCAACTGTACCTGACTGCGATTCACGCAAAATTGTTAGCTATCGCGTCGATAGTGTAACGAACACGGGACGTGCAGTTTTCTATGGAACGTCGTGTGCACTGAACGAATTTCCGTAGAAATGACACGTGGCTGTATTAAACGACACAAGCTTTGTTACAAATTGATCGCACGATCCCCGAGGAGCCTTCGTCTTTGCACACCGTGCTCTGAAAATCGTGATCTGTGAATTGGAGGATCATTTTCGAAGGAAACGTATTTAAAGATTGAACAGTACACGCTAGGAGTGTGCGGCTACCCGAAATTTCGGGTTCGGGTCGGGCTTACACAAAGTCGGGCAGGTAACCCCATGATTTTGGGTAGCCCGACGATCGAGTTGGAAAAAGTTCAAGGGGGATAGGATCAGAGGTAGGCGTTATTCGAATAACATTTCGAATAAATTCTTCGAATAAAATTTCGAATAAATTATTCGATATTTACGAATAACGATTTTATTCGAACAAAGCTTATTCGAACACATAGTTATTCGAATTGGGCATTATTCGATATATTATTTTGACCCTGAATTCGTTTTTTTCCTCCCAAGACACTTTCATCATGTGACAAATGAAAAAATGTTCTCTTTTTTCAAATAGGAATTGTAAAATTTTACGTAAAGATGTACGTAAAAAATGTCGAAAAATTTTATTTACGACTATCCATCGTCATCTGGAAAATTAAATTTTCGCCTTGAAACTTGCTGTACAATTTTTCTTCATCACTTTATTGAACTTTGAATTAACATTAAATGGCAGAAATTAAATAAATACTAACGTTTCACCATTTAACCATATTGTTCAATGTTGTAAAAAACAGCCAAAAAAAAAAAAAAAAAAAAAACGTACAGCAAACTTTAAGGGTTCGTCGTGAAGAAAGAGTTTCAGTCTTCCCAAGAAAAATGTTTTCAATGCTTTTAGAAATGTTCGAATTTACGAACATAAAAGCAATTGCACGATGTAAAACACCATTTAAAAAAAAACAAACCTAGAGCAATCGAGGTAAAAGCTTCACGCTTTAAAATAAGATCAAGTACATTGTTGCGCAATCTTCTTTTACGAGGTTATAACAGTTTCAACAAGCTGTACTTTGCGACATAACCTCCGTATCTTAACCAAAATAATAAACTAACCTCAAAGTTAAAATGTTTGTTACTGTGTCGTTCCGCCTAAAGCAGCGTCGGGCCAATCGAAACCGTTTCGTTGAAAATAATAAATAATAAAATAATAAACTAATAAACAATAAACAACAAACATTGAAAATAATAATCAAAGTAACAAACTAACCTCGAAGTTGAAATGTTTGTTACTGCGTCGTTTTGTGCAAGGCAATGTCGGCCAGTTGAAACTGTTTCGTTGAAAACGAATTAAAAACGTACACGCGTATGCGTAAAGAAGCGGCGTCACCGAGCTACGAGGGAGAAATGTTCGCCGATTCGAAGGGAGAACAGAGAATATGTTGTACGCTGGCGTGGACGGACGGAACGACACAGACAATTATGCCGAATGGAAGAGCACGCCTCAGTAAGCGGAACTAAACGAGAACGGTACATCCTACGATCTGTTGCAAAAAAGTTCCCCCGAGTGCCGTTCCACGCTATCCGTTTCACAGCGGGATCATTCTCGAGGCAGATACGTATGCACAAACGCGTTTTCGAGGCGCAAAGAAAATCGAAAAGCTCGCCGAATGTCTAGATTCTAGAATCCAGAGTTTAGATAAGAAAAGAGTTGCTAAAGTAGAAAAAAGAACGAAGTTCGCATGCGTGATGGGCAATGAAAATAATCGCGCCGCGCGTAGATCATAAATCTCGCCGGGGAGAAACCTGAACGGAGGCGTAATAAAGTAATTTGCGACAATAATCGCTTTTCGCATTTTGCTACGTGTGACAGTAAATATAAATATATGACTGGTACGCATGGAACACGAAATTGTACAAAAACATGTAAAGAACAGCCTGAATTCGGCGGGACAACATGGTAGCACGTTCGTAATGCATTTCATCTTTTACAAATGCCTTTTGCAACAATTAGCAGTTAATAGAGTATCAAGCAAAAGTATTGGTGCGGTAATTTAAAAAAAAAATATATGATATTGACGGAGAAACAGACAAGAGAAACGCGAAAATTCAACAGGCAAACATAGAAACGTACCTTGTCGAGGCACTTGAGTTCCTCGATCGGGTAGACCGTTTTCTCGCAGCGAGCGCACGTCTTGCTCATCTTCAACTTCTCTTCCTTCGTTTCTTCGTCGTCTCGCTTCTCTTTCCCTCCCTCTCAGCTGCAATTCCGCGTATGGATCTTGTGGCCTCTCTTTCTTCACGAAACACTGCGCCAACGTAAAGAACACGTGTAAACACTAACGACACATCCGCACGGTATTTCGTATGGAGACGATCGCGAAAAATCAACGACTCGAGTGCGTACACGGTCTGGGATTGTTTACGAGTTTTCTCGGCGACAACCGCGATCAAGGAAATGCACGCCAGCGGAAAACCTCGGAACAAAACGGGTGCCACAGAGCCGCACCAAACTATACTGCCCTCTCGTCCTCGTCTAGCTACAAAAACTCCTTGAGTGACAGTAATGGTGGTATACCGCGCTAGTCAAACGAACGGCGAAATATTTATGTATCTCAAACACTTCTCGAATGGATCTTTTTGAAGCACCGCTCGCTAAAGATTTTAATTAGAAACAAACGAGGTGATAATTTCATTATTTGTCGAGAGATATTGGTTGGAAATATTATTTTAAACTATCTTCGAGCGCAACGCGTCGGTAAGACAGAGCGAATCATAGATGCCTCGACAATTTAGAATTATTTTCCACATCGAAATTCTTTACTTTGAACTGTCTATTTTATACGAGGCTGTATCATAATTAATATGCTGCGATCGGATATTTAACGGTGCTACAATTGATACGTAGAATTCGTCTAAGGAAGTTTCAAAGTAACAAGAGATTTAATATACCACGCTAATCAACATAACAACATGCGCTATTTACGTCTATCAATAATTTAATTTTCGTCTGGATAAAATTGAATATAAATAGGTAAGGTATACACGTGCTAATTTTCACACGATAATCTCTGTTTGTACTATAAATATAGACAACTTTAAAAGATACCATATAAAATATCAGCGTGACGAGATCGGTACAGAAGGGAACTAATATTCCGGTAAAAAAGACACTTTAATTTAAAACAATTCCCTTTGTTTTTCATGTTATATTCTATTTATTATTCTATCCTGTAACATAAACAACATTAATTTCTAATATTTTAATTTTTTAATATTTTTGACTTGTTACCGACACTGCGATTATTCCGTCTCGTAGCGCACTCTATGTTACCGCATGTTTCAAAATTTGAAATAAAAAAGATTCAATATGTAATAATCTATATGTGAAAAATTAAAAAAGATGGCAGTGTATTAGTTACATTATTATCAGACATTTCTACAATAAAAATTACCGTGTTCCTTTAAGAAACTGGTAAACGAAACTGAAATCTTTCTTTGCAGACCCTTGAGCAATAATTGCTCTATAAATTTGATGAGCCAAGGAACCTAAAGGTATAGTTGCTTCTGCATTAACTGCAGCAGACTGCGCCAGTCCCAAATCTTTGGCCATTAAGCTCACTCCAAAACCGCCCTAAAATTAAATCCATTAAACGGGCCGATTAAACCTGTTTCGCTAATATGTAAGAAACACAACGTAATCAAGTACCTCGTAATTCTGCGAGCTCGGAACATTGTCAAGGATACCTGGAACGGGATTGTACAACTCGGAAGACCAACATCTGCCAGAACTCGAGTTTACAATGTCAGCTAACACCTTGGGATCCAGCCCCAATCTGAAATGCGAGAAGCTTAATGAAACGATTATATTTACAGCGCGTTACGTTATAGATTACATTCTGCGCACGTTACTTTTGCCCGAGATTGAATGCCTCGGCTGTGCCGATCATGCTAACAGCCAAAAGCATGTTATTGCACAATTTTGCCGCTTGACCCATGCCCACGTCTCCGCAGTGAACTATCCTTGATCCCATGGATTTTAAGAGGGGCTTGGCAAGTTCGAAATTTCCTTTCGAACCTCCGACCATGAACGTCAGCGTTCCATCCTTAGCAGCGTTCACACCTAATCGAAGTAATTGCATTCGTAAATAAATGCATAAACATTCGCGATTCATTTACGATATTACCTCCGGACACTGGACCGTCTACAAAATTAACGCCAGACTTTGCAGCCTCTTTCGCCAAAGTTTGAGAGACGAACGGATCTGTCGTGCTGCTATCGATCAGCAGAGTGTCTCTTTTTGCTGAACTGAAAGCACGAAAGAAAGAACAGGTCTTTCTCCTCGAACGATAAATTTAGAGAATGCTCGAGAGACAAGGCGGAGACTCGCTTACCTTAACAGGCCATTTTTAATATTGTAAACGTTCAGAACGTGTTGATTCGACGGCAGCATCGACACAACTACTTCGACATCTTTCACCACGTCAGCAGGGCTCGAGGCTCTGTCAGCACCTACCTCTGTTAAATTCGACACAGCTAATTCGTTGACATCAAAGACTATTAGTTTGTGACCCTGTAGATACATATATAGAAATCAATATACTCGATTTCACATCATTCTTTGGATATTAATGCTAATCTAACTTTGGATATGTTTCCTTTTGTGAGTCAATATAATGATAATAATAGTATAGATTGCAACACCTACAATATATATATATATATATATATAACATGCTCGAATAATTTACCTGTTTCAAAATGTTCCTCGCCATTTGACCACCCATGTTGCCCAAACCGATGAAACCGACTCGCGAAAAGCATCGTTTCCCTTTGCCACGTGTAATGAAATAAAAAATGAAAGTAAACTTCTTGCTGTAAGCGAATATATTAACTATAGGATTAAAGAAAAAGAACAACCTGTCACAACACGAACGATAAATTTCATTGACGAAGCGAAGAAACTCATTGTGAAAATACTCGGCGCGTCTTAAGAAAACTGCAAATTATCATCAAATTTTGATATTACGGAACAGTTTCGTGCACGTCATACAAACGTGGAATTTAATTAAAACTGTCACGGAACGTTATGTATATATATCTCAAGAATGATAGTACGCGCATTTACAGGCAAAGTAACAAAAGGTGGTATAATGTTTTCATACATAAAATTTAGTGGTCTAGTGTACGACGCAGAATTCGACGAGAGACTAATCAGCCTGCTCGTGAATAATATTTACTTTCGTGAAATGAACGTTCGTGTTATCGGCAAGTTCATAGCTTATCTACTAGATATATAAATATTTTCTTCAAGTTTATTATAATTGCGTTATAATAATATGCGCATGTGTTAAGTAGTTGTTTAATAAATAACCTTGTACGTTGTTCAATGTATGATTACTTTTTTTATACGACTACAATTATATCATGAAATGAAGACAAAATTTTTTGCACGTGCAATTCATTAAGAAAGATATATATATTCAATGCCAGTTGGCATGATAATATATAATATCTTGGCTGACGTATTATATATTGTTATTTTGCCTATTTACATGAATGTATAACATGTGAATATTACTTGCTACTTACCGGATAGATGAAAAAAAAGCGTAAAATGACGCAAAACGCTTTATAATCGCTTCGAACGAGAATTGGAAACGATCCTTATCGAGTTCTCCATCATTCCTTTTTTTATGTAATTAATTTTACAACACGTGAAATATACTGAAGAGAAACAGCGAATAAAACGCAAGGACAGACAGTAGTTTGTCAATGTAACGAAAAATGTTTCTCAGTAACGGGTATCTAGTGTCATTCTGTTAGATTATCTTTTCACACACGAGACACTGATGAATATTTAATGCGTGGTCAATTAAGCATCAACGAAACCATAAACTCGCCTTGAAACTCGGCCGTAATTATGCGTTCTGTGTCAAGTTGTCAACCACGAGCTGTAATTCTGTTTGCACGGTATTCTTTATCTGCCATACTTATCTGCCGTCAACTTGCACTCTGGACATTTACGTCTGTATACAATGGGGGTACTTAAATTACGTATTATCGAGTCCAGAAATTTCTGTAAATATATACATTCACTTCATCCCCTTTCCTTCGTCGAATCGTATTCCCAACAGTTGCACTTTGTTAAAGAGAGCGTTACGTTTAGATCGGCCTTGCACGTAAAAACTTGGTGAAAAAGAAAGAAGAGACAGAGGCGAGGGAATTGGATAACAGAGGAAATTCACGATTAAACAACCAAGGATACTCTTCGCTACTCGTAGAGAAACACGTGTTTGCTCGTGGAAAGGAATTCAATAACAAGAGTGTTTCGTAACGAGTGATCGAAATGTTGATTTTCATGTTTATGACATCTGTTTCTTCAGCGATAGCCGATAAGAATGATATTTTCGTATCGAAAGGTAAATCGTGGATCGCTGACGAGAATTTCATAGAAATCATCAAGTCGTCGTTTACCTCTTCTAGATGTTGCAACGTTTTTCTAACCGGTTGGTAAAGAAACCTCGATTTAATCGTGGATTTTCGTTTAAACTTCAAAATTATGAATAATTAGCATTTACGGATTTGTCAATAAATAACGAGATAATTACTAATTCAACGCAATGAACGACCGTGGAATTTTATTTAGATTGGACGGAAGATTCGAGTGCAGTGTTCGATCAATTTAAAAACGTCTATCCGTACGATTATCTCTTGGAAACGAGTATGCACGAGTGCCAGGGATTCTTTTTTCTGGGATCGAGTGACGACGATATCATGGAGTCTATAAAAAAGTGAAATAATTACGTACGAGTGTTCCGTTTTAGTCTTTTAGAAATATACATAATTCTTCCGTCGTAGAATACCTGTGCTACAGTGGGATATGGAAATTCTGATCATGGTGAATAATAATACTTCCAGTGATTCTTGCTTATTTAACAATTCTGCATACGGAATCGCAAATATAAATATTGTCTCTGTATCGGGAATGTGGAAACTGTCGGAGAACTACGTAAGACCGCGAGTCTTTACTAAAATAGACAGGTAACAATGCAAATAAATTATAAGAATTACGATGGAACTTCATTCGTTGAAACGAAACTTTAATTGTTCCTTGATCATTGCAAATAAATGAATTTCTGTCGATCGAATCAATTATTATTCTAACGTCAGTTCTTACGTTACGTAATAGTTTCGTTGCACGCAGTTACATAAATTTTTTACTTTCCAATAGATAAGTAAAATTAAATTATTAGAAGAAATTACATGTACATACTCATTACTTTTTTTTTTTTTATATCATCCTCAAACACAAAGTTACGAAGGAATGCAAATAAAGAACGTGCCGATAAACTTTCAAAATAAAGAGTTACAAGTATGCAGCATTTTTAGTCCACCGATGACGTATCTAAATCATACGATCCAGATGATAATAAACGGAATAGAAGCAGATGTGTACACGATGGACGATGGTATGCTAATAAATATCAAATAGTCGAATGTAACTTCTTCGATGAGATTTAGATAAAATTTATTTTATGTATTATTATTATTATATTTATTTATTTCATTTATAATATATTTTAAATAAAATTTATTTTCGAAAACACAGAGTTGGACTGGGATGGCGTGGAAATGAAATTGTTCTTAATAATAGCGGAAAAATTGAATTTTACGTGGACCATAAGGAAACCAGAGGGGAATTACACGTACATATGATTGTTCTTATTTTTACTAGCTCTTTTAACTATTAACCGATAAGTCTAATTTAATTTTTGATGGTTAGATATGGCCAACGAATCAACGACACATATTGGATGGGCGGCCTGATACAAATGATGCGTGAGCAAAAGGTACGATAATTTATTGTCAAACAATGACTAAGAAATGAAACAAAGATCTTACGATATTCATTCGACATCTCATCTTCAGATAGATATGGCATTCGCCAGTATTTGGCTAACGTTGGATCAATACAAATTTGTGAACCTATCCGAATCATGGTATCAGATATACATACATTTTTTAGTACCTCGTCCTCATCGAACCACGAGCTTTTGGGCGCTCAGTAGACCATTCTCGGAAGAAATTTGGTACTTGCTCTTATCTGCATTTCTCTTACATGGCCTCTATACTTACATTCGTGCTTGGATCGATCCGAAATTTCCAAAACGTAAGAAACTGTAGAAAATTCTTTTTGCTATATACCATCGTCGATTACACGATGCACGACAAATTTCACCGAAGCACTAACGACTTTTTGTCACACGATCGTTTCAGAATATCGGAATTTCTTAGTTGCCCTGACCGATCTAATCGGCTATTTCTTAAGCAGCTCGGTGCCGAAAACGACGCGAAAGAAGACCAACAAACTGCAGATTCTTCTCTGGCAGACCGCAGGCTGGTTAATAATTACAGCTTATTCCAGTAGTCTCGCGGCGAGACTTGCGAGTTCCGAGTACGAGAGCAGGTAGCACGCAGTATCAGCAATTTTTTAGATATTACGCATGCATTTTTTTCTTTTTGTTTTTTATTAAGAACCGATAGATGATAATTATATAATCGAATTGTCTGATCTAAAAAAGAAGTATCATTAAAAAATGACGTCAATATTTTCAGAATCGATACGCTCGAGCAATTTTCCAAGGCGAATTTGCAGTGGGGACTAGCAAGGGAACTGCCACCGTTTGACGATTACTTCGACATGACGGTATGTCAGCTTAATGAAAATTAATTAATCAAAAATTCGATTCATATTAAACGCGTTCGATTGAATTATTAGAATCCACTCTCGACGAAACTACGGAGCAGATTTCATTATATAAAGAACTATACGCAATTGAAGCAGCTTATTCGACGAGGTAATTACGCAATTCTAGGGAAAGTAATGGATGACAGTTTTGTTCCAATGGGTTATTTATCAAACGAAGATTTGAAGGTATCTATAGAGCTAATATTTGATATATATACTGAACGATTATATTATATGCATTTTATAAATGATAGAGAACGCGGAATGAATGTTAGAATTACAGATTGATGAGACAGCCTGTGGGACAGTTTTATGCTGCTTTTGCGGTTCAACCATGGCTTCTAAGACCCATAAACGAGGTAAATTAAAATTCTCGATGCTAAAGCTAATAAAATTGCACGTGAACTCTCAGTTGACATCTCTGATTTTTAATGTCAGACTACGATTGAACGATATTGTAATATTACAAGTGATTTTGACATATGTGTTGTGATTATCTCAGGGAATATATCATCAACCACGTATTATTCTATAATAATAGAAAATGAAAGGTTGAATGAGATGTACAGTCGCCTGTTATACAGGGTGTTTCGTAACTTGTGGGACCCACTTCGGGAACTGATTGTACGCCTAAAAATAATGAAAAATAGTCATATATATACACATATATATGTCCTATGTTTATGAGATATAATGAATTTTGTAAACAGAGCAAACTCTAGTAAGCTAGTTTTACCAGGGATGGTACATTCAATTTTCATTATTTACAATCAGCTCCCGAAGTGAGTCCCGCAAGTTACGAAACACCCTGTATATATAGCGACATCGAAACCTGTCCAACTTCCACGCCATACGAGTCTGCCTCGCGGTCAGCCGATCCCCTTCTTCCTATTTTTCTGAGCACGACCCAAGCCCTACTCGCATTTAATTGGCTGAATCTGCCATTATACGTATACCAGTTACTACTTGTATAATCGGTGAAATACCACACATGTTTAAATATGACTGCAAGAACGGCAAACAAATTAAAGTGCGACAGTGAGGCTCGTGTGATGTGGTGGTGTTTGTGCCGAAGGGAAAGAAACGACGGACAAAAAAGTAAGTGTTTCTCTATCATTTCCAAAAAGGGGCACGAGTTAATTGGACAAGCCTGTCCTAAATTATCAATTGTACGTGTCCCTCTATCAATCGATACCAGAATCATGTCGATAATGAAGGGAGGTGTCGTTACTCCTCAACAATAATCGAAAATACTCATTCAACGACATTACATGTTATAATGTTTAAACTATTTTGCTGGAAATCTCGCTTATCTTGTTTTTCAGTTATATTTATAAATCCATTTTCATCGTGATTAGATATATAAATCTATATGAAATAGATGTAATCATATCAGATATCTTATCCGGTTATACGAAAAACAAACGTATAAAAATAATTGCTCAATTAGTCATTAGACTTTGGAATCACCTTCGTGTTATTTCCTCGAAATCATTTAGGTGTTGCTTTTTATGCGTGCAGATAATACTCAGGTTAAGAGAGACTGGGATAATCATTGGGCATTTACGTGATGTCATCCGTAGACGAGACAGTTACAACCTTCGCGAGGTAACTGTAGAGCACGACCGGTACGACGGAAGCATTCAAGTTCTCGGATTGATGCCACTCGGCGCTGGATTTTTTTTGCTGTTTGTTGGCTCGTTGATAGCCAGCATGACGTTTTATTTGGAGTTGAGACGCGCTACAGATCTATGTCCAAAGTCTTTTGCGAAATATCAGTAACATGGTTTCAGTCGCGCACTATTTTATCAAATGAATGATCTTCGCGTTTTTTTTTTTAAGAAAAGGTAACCGTATCTTAAGTGCAATATAAATTAGAAATATCACGTACGTACTTTATATCACAGACATATGTGTGTACTGTAACAGAGAAACATATTGTAATCGCACAAGAAACTAGAACATTTCCAACAGTGAATGCCTGACATTCCTACGATCGAGAAGGATCTGCGGAAAGTAAACAAACCAACCGAGCGTAGGAAATGAAAAGTTAAGGAGTAGAAAGTGTTTTAAATACAGTGGCTCGTGAAAGTATCCGAAAATACTTGAGGTATGAATATTTATTTGAATATATTGCGTGTATGGTACGAAACATCTTAAAATTTCGTTATAGTGTGAGAGGACTCTTAAGAAACGTGGAGTCTAAAGTTTGAATAAAGGTAATCGCTGTTTTTAAAATGTAGCTTCAAATATATTCCTTAAAAGTCGGTCGCTAACTGCTCGCTGGATTCTTACGTTGAGTGATACACTATTTGCTTTTATTGCCAGGGCGATACATTTTTGTCTCGCGCTGACGGTTGGTGATCTGACAAACACGTTAGGTTCAAATTCAATAGTGTTTTCGCTTACAATAGTGTGAGACGATAATTGTATTATGCATATTAATAAAATTTAAAACAATAATAAAAGATATTTACCCTGAGCATTCGAAAATCGAACATTAAGTATTTGAACACTAACCTTATGTTCAATATCGCAGTAATTTTTGGTTTTAAATTTGACGTACATAATCACTACTGAGAAAATTGAAAAAAATCCTCTATAATACGTGTCATGTATTTATAAAAATTTTTTACGGTAAGTGCTCCAATACTTTAATTATTTAACAATAACAACAAATGAAATTTAATATTGCCGCAAGTTTTCGTCTTTTGAAAACTACTGTGTTTTGGAAACAAAGTAATGTAGAAATTATACGTGAGTATTACGTAGAATTAATTTAAAACTAATGCTAATATGATTCAGTGGTATTATAAATGTAGAATTAGATAATGTGCAATCATGACTTGTAGAACGCAGAGGAAAAAAGACACGTGTTTAAACGAATAAACTGCAATCAATCTATATAAGGTATCTGAAATTATGGTACAAGCGGCCGAGTGATACTACACGCAAAAATAAGAGAAAAAGAAAAGAGTAACATTTTTCTATTTAAGATTTAATTTCTGAAAAAAAATGAGTGACTTAAAATCTATTTATTCAGAAACAAAACTTTGAATATGAACTTTGAAACGGAAACTTTAAAAAAAGTTATTCGTTTATTCGACTTGTCCTTATATGTAGAATCATCAATCGGCCGCCCGTAGTATGATTTCGAAAATACATACAAGGTTAAAATTGTCATCACTGAAAATTAATGCAATGAATATTTCTTTTTTTATAGACTTAACTTGAAAAAAAGGACAGCGATTTATTGCAGTAATATCAGTGCCGTGAGATTGGTAATACAATGACGTATAAAAAACACATCAATGACGGTAATTTTTATTATATAATTGTTGATATAATTGTTGTTATTATATAATTGTTGATAATTGGAAATTGCTCTGATTTAGTTGTAACTTAGTTATAAGTTGTTTGTAGTTATTAATTAATTAAAATTATAAATAATAATATCGTAAAAAGCCACATTATATCGAGATAAATTCTTATCTGATATTTTTCTAATAATTAGCTCAGCCTTCGACGGTTGATGAGCACTTCCAACTGATCTTGGACGACAGAGAAATCATTGATTCTGAGTTCGTCGAAGTGACACCGGATGATTTACCTGACTGGTTCGATGAAAAGTTATTCAAAACGTGAGTAGAAAAGTTTGACGCAAATAATCAGATTTCTCACGAAGTGTTAGGTGAAAAGAAAAAAAAAAAAAAAACACGCAAATAATCGATCAAAACTACATTTTTAGCGGTCAAGAATTTTATGTCCGGAATTTACTAGGATTTGCAGCTGGACACATAACAGGGCTTACAGCGATAATCGCCGTCCCAGATATATTGGAGGTAATGAATTCATTCCTTCCAAGTTTAATAGTGTAAAATCATTTCTAAGAGAAAATAAAAAAATTTTCTCATCTACTGTATTTTCAAAATCTTCGTAAACCAGAAGCGGAAGCAAGAACGCGAACGACATTTCGATAACACCAAAATAAAAGTGATGAATGTTTATAGGTTCTCTTGTTTACTAAACGAAATGCCACATTCAAGTTATCTTACAAGCGATTCGCCGAAACGCTGTTGCTCATGTACGCGCTCCTTCGCTCGGACATATTCGCCCCAAATTCGAAGTGAGTTACAGAACGTTCCATTAAATATCCCATAAAAGCATTCGGTGAAACCGGTCATGTTAAATCTACTTGCAATATTCGAAGATGGTTCAATGCGCTGAATGTGATTCGACGGAGACACGCGAACGTCAATAAAAGGCGCGTTTCACGAGGTCTCCATGGGATATACCAGAAGGACATGGCCATCACGCAATTTGGTTTCTTAGGATACATATTCGTATGTCCTGAAAAATTGGGACTCGCACGTAGTACGTACGAGGAGATGAAAGGTTACAACCATCTATGGCAAGTCATCGGTCACCTGTTGGACATAGACGATAGGTAGTAACATTGGAATGAAAAAGAAACGAAGTAAAATTTAGATCTCTACGATTTGTTAAGTGGTTACAGTTGTTGGAATTTTTTTTTCAGAATAAACATTTGTAGAAGAACTGTGGAAGAAACGACGGAACTATGCAGGAGAATCCAAACTGAAATAATAGCAAAACATCTAAAAAATCCACGCCCGGAATTTCTACGGATGACGACGAATATAGTGCACGGATTGTGGTACATCGATTTTTCGATCAATGAGGATTCTTTTCTGGTTCTCACGTACGATCTGACGGGAATAAAATGTTGGTTTCACATTAAAAGTATTTTATATCTTAAATCTACAATAATAACGAAACAATTTTCTGTTTTAGATACAAAGCCTCTTAGCTGGTATTCTTATTTAAATTTAAAATATCGTCAAACTACTATGTGCTTATTGAGTAAGTAATTGTTTTTAATTAAAAAAAAGGGGGAGGAGGAAATTACTTAGAAACCGTAAGATAAAAATTAATGTGAATTTTAAAAAAAATTGTTTTCTTCAGATGTTCCACTTATTGGTTGGCTGTTACGATCGGCATTTAATTTATTTCTAGGCCTAACCTACTGGATTCTAGAATATTATCCAATTGTACCAATCTTAGCATTTGGGAAAAAGGATGGACAAATTGTTCTGTATGAAAAATCGTAGTATATATTAAACAATAAAAGTGTACATGGGTATCATAAGATGTATATGAGTAAATGTACACAACTAATGTCATATACAACTAACTCTGTATTGGAATTATAAATGAAATAGGATTTAAGTAGCTATTATTTGATCACAAACAAGTAGTATCTCGTATGACAAGGCATATCTGTATCTCGTCTGTGGTGCAGTTGTAATCAGAATCGATAATGTCGCATGTGACATGAAAATGGTAAAGGATCAGCTAACTTTCAAAATAATATGACAAGAAAAAGAATCGTATTTTATTTCTTATTTACGCCTATACCACATTTGTGTATCCATTTTCTAGCGATTAAATGCGATAAAATTTTGTATTACCTTTAGTCGATACTATTGAACTCGGCAGTGAACGTAAAACGAGTTATAATAATGTTTTCGATAACTAGAGTTCGCTGCCTGTCACATAATGCTGATTAAATACCTGAGCGGTAATATATGATTGATCAGAAACGACAAGAAAATCATAATTCGTTGAATCACAAATTAAACATAAATTGTCATTAGATATGTTGACAACATTCTGACTATATATATATATTAATGTATAATGAATATTGTGTCTCAAAAATCGTAGTATCTCTTTCATCATAGTAAATAAAAACCGGAAGACATGCTTTGTGAAAAACATATAATAACGTAGGTACCTTTAACGACACTCGTATCGATAAATCCGATGCGACAGAGAATCATCCGAGGGAGATATCTCGCAATGAAAATTCTAACAGTCTATGCATTAACGACGCATTTACCGTTTTCCTATATCGCGATCATTAACCGCATCTAATAAATCGCCCAGTAGCTTTTTACTTCAGAAAGCCATCAATTTGTCGGTCATTCAATCGAATCAACCACTTTCCAGCTATTTCCTCCATCCCATTTCCCGTGTCTATACCTATCAAAAATTGGTCATTCTATCTGGCGGCCAGCGGCCAGCGTACCTCGATATCCCTGTCCGGCACTGGCGATAATTATCAGTTGCAATTTGTCTGGCACTGTTCTCCGTTCCACTCCACCCACGAATACCGCTCGGGATCTCCACTCTCGCGCGCGTTCATCCATTCGCTGTGCCATTATCCCATCTCTCGGTGCGCAACGCCATCCTCTCTGTCCTCCCTTCCGTCTCCAGTCTCCAGGATCGCAGGATCGTTTTTTACGCGAGTCGCGTGATTTCGTGTTCGCCGCATCTTCGATGCGAGCTGGTTAGAGAGACTCGCGTGAGAAGTGAGCCCCTGCTCACATACACACACACACACGCATACACCTTCGTGCACCGCGCCAGGACACACGATGGCTCGCGTATGTATGTGTGTGTGCGCGCGCGCGCGCGCGCGTTTCTGCCGGCACACTGGATCAGGGGGATACACACACGAACAAGGAAACGCACACCTGCTCGTTTTCGTATACACGGAGGAACGGAGGCGTATGTAACACGGGTCCCGAGTACATAATACACAGCCATATATCCTTCTGTCCCGTAGCTACTCTCCCTCGACCCTGTCGCCTCTCTTCTCGGCACCTCTCCTCGTTCCTTGGCTCACCGGCCCTTCCCGCCCCTCGCGCCAACGCCGCAGCTAGCGAGCACCGTCCCCTCCCCGTCGCCCCGGCTCGTCGAGCGCCCGGCGTCTCCGCGCGCCATCGAGTTCTCCTCATTCCCCCTTTTGCTCGGCTTGCACGACCTAAACGAGATGACTCGTCGCGAGGACAGAGGAGCGGCGTCAGAGGAGACGCTGCTGCCGTCGCTGCTGTTGCTGCTGCTGCCGCTGCCGCTGCCGCCGCCGCCGTTGCTGCTGAAGAAGAAGGAAGATGTGAAAGCAGGAAAGAGGGAGGGGAGTAGGTATCAGCGGCCGTCCAGAGAGGAGAAAGAAGATGGCCCTGCGGCCCTCGTGTTGCACAAAGAGATCCGCGAGAGACCGTCCGCCTCTAAAGCTCGATCCATACGCAGCCACGGCAACGTAGCTCCTCGCCTCCAAATCGTTTTGCGCCGCTGTAAATTGCCAGAGCCGTTCCTGGTCACCAACGCGTCGTCGATGCGCGCATTGCACTTCTTTCTCCTTTTTTTAGAATTCTGGCTAGCGGGCAAGTACGCGAACGCAGGCGTTGTTTCGCTCGTTACGGCGAATTAAGATTCGATAACTTTGCAAAATGAAGGAAACAGATTTCGACTTGATTTCTGCTTCGTTCGTGTAAATGACGTTTTGAGAAATTTTTGACGTTGGGGAAATGCATCGCTTCGTAACTAGATACGTATGAAAGCGAAGGGCCGGTAATTGTGAATAGTTCGACGTTTGAACATGGCTCGACGAGTCGACTGATCAATGCAGATTCCATCTGTCTTTCGAGACTTGGCTCGTTCCATGTATTTCACCGGGGTTCCCATACATACGTACGTATGTATCTACGTGTACACGCTCTCCGCAAAGTAGATGAAATATCATCGTGTATCGTATTACAATGTTACCCAGCATCGATATATAGCCGCGATACGGGAGAGAATTCCGTGGAACATATGTTTCAAGGTGCAGAGCGCATTAGCGATAAAACTGTCTTGTTTCGCGATTCTGAAGGTGAACTCCGAGGTAGCGAGATTCCCTCGAAACTAGGAAGAGACGGCCCGGGGAACTGTGCCAAGGTTACAATAAATATATTCACGTCGCTCTCAAAGAGATCAATCTTCGTTAATCATTTATACAATTTTACTACGCGTATTACGTAACATCCAAACATCGCGCAGCTATGCATATGTACCACGCGAGTACATACGTATGCTTACGTATTTATATACCCTCGAGTGCATCTCTTTGAAAGTTATCAAGTCTTAATGCCTACTTATTCTTCAAAATATTTACTTTCCGCTCGACTATAAATCTCGTATTTACGAGGCCCGTGAACCGTTGCAAGTTTCGCCCGGTAAACATGCACGTACACGTGCACACCTATGTACACGCGCACGTACATATGTACGTCCATAGAAAAATACTTGGAACGAGCGTACATACGTTCACGCGCCCGAGCATGTACATACGTATGTACATAAATCACGGGGATCCCATTCTTCCGGCGCGCGATTTTCGATCTTACACCGTAGCCGGTTGAAAACTACCAAAGATTACGGGTCGCGGTCGAAGGCTAGTGGTCGAAGTTCGTGCAGAAGCTATTACAGGGGACATTATCTCGCGCAGGTGTCTGGCCGCGGTGAAGGCGATCGCCGCGCACGACAGAAATTCACGTAGTTGGTAAGAGGAGAACGTTCGTTAGGCTTTCACGAGTTAAGCTAGATAGCCAGAGGCATTGCGTACGATCTCCGGCGCGTATCGCATCCACTCGGACGACGTGCCTTTTTTCTCTTCCTCTCTCGCTCCTGCCTACCCTCCTCCCTGCGCCGCCCCTCCCCGTCCCTCGTCGTCACTGTCCGCCTCGCCCCTCCGCCGCCCCCTTTGCCATCGCGCACCTCTTCCTCTCTTTCTCTGGCTGCCTCCCCTTCCGCGCGCCTGCTATCCCTTCCATCGTCTTACAGCATCGAAGAACCCCTCCCTTCTCCCTTTCGCCCTCGCAACGTATCACTTGCTTTCTCTCTCTTTCTCTCTCTCTCTCTCTCTCTCTCTGTCTTTCTTTCTTTCCCCTTTTCCTTTTCTTCTTTCTTTACGCGTCGTGGTTCGCGAGGTACGCGACCGAACCAACGACTCCTCTCTTTCTCTGGATGGGAAACGACTGTCCTCCGATACTTTCGAGCCGGCGCAACGACGAACCTGAAAACGATGGCGAAATGCGAGCACTCGTGGCCACCATACCACGGGGGGGAGGAAGATATCTTTCTCTCTCCCTTTCTCCGTCTCGATTCTTCCGATTTGTCGGATTTCATTTTGCATCGATACGAGAAATCGAAGGTATCGCAGGTGAACGCGTATTTTCGCTCGATCTTTTTCGATAACGCGCGATTGATCGACGACGACCGTGATATCGACACCGCGTCTTTGCAAAGGATAGAAAATGTGTTACCGCTCTTCGTACACATTTTCGTACACCATGTGCACGATGGATTGGTGCCAATTGAATGCAAATAATCGAACGTGAAACGATAGTAATTACCCGATCCACTAGTGGTACATATTTAATTTTCGAGCGTGCGCGTCGATTACGTTTAACGGTGGTATGAAACGCGTATTAGCGGACGCAGTTACATAACCAAAATAATACGAATAGTTGCAAACGCTATTAATACCACCGATAAATACTCTCGGCTACTTTGGAATCACGGCGTTCTCCATCAGGCGCATAACACCGCTGAATAAACGTGTGTCTCGAACAGCGCGGATTCTGTTTCAACCGCGGATATTCAGAACGCGGTTGGCAACCCGAACGGCAACCGCCGGGGCTTTCGCACTTCTCTTTCTTCGGATAAGAAATGAGCGTCCGCCAATGTTTTCGAGTCGGCGCAACGGTGACGACGACACGGAGGACGGATGACGAGGACGACGACAAAGTGCGAGCAGTTGTAATGAGTTTCCTCAAAGTCCCTCTATTTCCAAGATTACATCGGGACGGACAGATGTATAGCTGTACGAATTCGCTTTTGCACGCTCTTTTTCCACAGACTCGACTCCCTCGCTGCACCAGATAGAAAATAAGGAAACGCATTATTACGCGATGCAACTAATTGCACAGTGCGACAGCTGACGTAGAGATGCATAATCACACGCGAAACAGTATGACGATAGGATAACGCGAACACGACGCTAGACCAGCCAGCCTTTATTGCGTAAACGTGTCGTTATTGCTCGACCAAAAATTTCTGCAGCGTAATGCGCCTTATTTCGCGATGGAAATGTCACGATACATTACCAGATAATGGCACTGGAAATTGTTGCGTACCAGAGATTAAGAATCCGAGTGACGAATCAATTGGTTTTCCCTAGTCGACAGATTGAAGTGTAATCGTGTTTTCCTTTCCATGAGAGACGAGAGTTTCAACGACTGATACAGTACTCGGGGAAAATTTATAAAAATTCGTATGATAAAAATTATTGTAGATAAAGTACGGTGTTGTGTCCGAACTGGCATGTCCATACTGTTATCAGACAGTAAGGACCGAGTGATCGTTTATTAATTATTCGTCATCGGTGATATTCAATTTTGGTAAGAACTGGGCTGCGTCGTTTCAACCACTGCGTGGATCGAAGAACGTCCTGAAAAAACCCACCAATGGAAGGGCTCGGTCTCGCGTCCTCGTCGATGCTATTTACGTCGGCGTGGTT